CGGTTTTATGCCCCCCCCTTCCCAGTGGCACAGCGGTATGTCTGGGGACTTACAACGCTAGAATCCGGGTTTCGATACCCGTGGTGGTCAGAGCACAGATAGCCCATTGTGTAGCTTTGTGCTTAATTACAAACAAACAAAAATTCGGTTTTATTCAACATTTTTCCAGAATAAATTAGACCGATTAAACTATTCAATAGATTAATCTAATTTCTAATGCTATAAGCCACGTGACTGAAAAGTATCACTTAATAAAGCATTCTAATTATCAACCACTGTAATGTAAGGGATGTAAAATAACATGAGATACAAATGGGGGAAAAACAGAACTTTTTTATGTTCACAGACGAAAAGAAATATAACTTATTGTTACGTGTACATAAAAAAATCCACAGCTTATATTGCATACATAAAATTACACACAGCAATGAGTGAGGAATATTTCCACGTTGAAAATGTTCTTTTAATTATTGGTAAAAACTACTGTAAATAGAGCTTTTGTTATTGGTAAAAACTACTGTAAATAGAGCTTTTGTTATTGGTAAAAACTACTGTAAATAGAGCTTTTGTTATTGGTAAAAATATTGTAATTAAAAATTTCATTATTGGTAAAAAGTATTGGGGTTGTTTCTGTCTTATCATTATGAAATAAAATTTGGTTGATACTAATTTAATTTTCCGTCAGCATCAACAGCAAGTAGCTGCAGCCGTTGACAGAGCTAAGCAAGTCACCATGACAGAATTGAACGCCATCATAGGAGTGAGTTTGCTATTTTATTTATTTTTTTTACAAAGCAGATAAAATCTAATTATAGTAAAAATCATAGATAATATTCAACGTTAAACTGGTACATAATTAAAAACTGTTTAACTAGTGTTTCATGTTATTCTTCTCATGTATCGACTGTGATTACTGCACAGTTCATGTTAGCCACCACATGTATCGAATGTGATCATGCACAGTTCATGTTAGCCACAACATGTATTGAATGTGATCACTGCACAGTTTATGTTAGCCCCCACATGTATCAAATGTGATCACTGCACAGTTCATGTTATCCACAACATGTGTCGAATGTGAACACTGCACAGTTCATGTTAGCCACCACATGTATCGAATGTGATCATGCACAGTTCATGTTAGCCACCACATGTATCGAATGTGATCACTACACAGTGCATGTTATCCACAACA